GTATAATGATTAATATGCGCCTCTGTAATAATAGAAAAGCAAAATAATAGAAAACTAGCAAAAAATGTTGAAATTTCATTTTGTCCCTTAAGGCGATGTGAAAGTGGCGTCAGAGTTCTCGCATATAATATTTTTCTCCAAACTTGATGTATCGAATCACTTCCAACTTCGCAATTTGAATATGGAGGCTATGAGGAAAGTCCTGACACCCTTAAAATTTCATTCCTTTTTTTCAATTTGCTTGTAGACATTTTTTAAATATTTCGTAAAAGAAAGAGATGATATTTCACGGGTGTCAGGACCTTTCTTATGGACTCCGTATTCATGTCGTAAAGTTCGAAACGACTCGGTACACCAAGTTCGGAGATATGTTTCATGAACGATTGATGTCACTTTCACGTCCCCTTAAAGTTAGAGAAGAGTTCTCATTACTGAAGGGCTTTCTTTTTATTCCAAGTACGAGGATCAACTCGAGACAGAAATATACATTCTGGGGTAATTCTGACATTCAAGTGGACAAGAAAATTTGGCATGGAAATAACGGCAGCAGCAGTTATACATTTAAAACGTAATTAGGTCTCTTATTGGTCGACTCGGAGCATTAAGTGACGTACATCTTGAAACTGGACGTGAAACTTCCGTCGTTTCGAATGGAACGATTCGGGTCTCCCCTTAAGGTGAAATGGACCGTCAAAGTGAGTTCAAGTATTCATGACTTCTCAAATGAGGTACGGATGGAACCGAGAGGCCTATTAAACTTCCACCGGCAAAGATAAATCATATCAGCCCTGAAAGAAAAGAGACGACGTTCGAGGGTGGCATTATCGATAAGACATTTGAGTCACGTGACAGGACAATTCTTAGATGATCACGAGTCATGGGACTAAGTTTCAGACAGTTTGGTCCAATACCCTTAAAAAAAAAGTGTTGTACAATGGCGGACGTGAATGCCTCCCCTACAGGTACGACATCGCCTGTGCAGGATGGGAGGGCATTGATGTCTCCCAGTGTACTCGAATCGACTGAGGGGGGTTTCACTTCACCTTATTCGATTGATAATGGACTATTAATCGAAAATGATTAATGCCTCCACCTTGGTAATGCTGTTCCTCTTCGTCGACGTCATCTTTCATCTCCCGTTGCAGATGAATAAAGAATTTTTTTTTTAAATCCAAATTTCGAATGTGTCAGGACAATTCTTAGATGATCACGAGTCGTGTGTCTAAGTTTCAGACAGTTTGGTCCAATATCCTTAAAAAAATAAGTGTTGTACAATGGCGGACGTGAATGCCTCCCCTACAGATACGACATCGCCTGTGCAGGATGGGAGGGCATTGATGTCTCCCAGTGTACTTATAAAGAATTTTTTTTTTTAAATCCAAATTTCGATTGTGTCCGGACAATTCTTAGACGATCACGAGTCGTGTGTCTAAGTTTCGAACAGTTTTGTTCAGTACCCTTAAAAGTGTTGTATTCCAACTCGAATTCGTACTATTTATTATACTATTCGTATTTAAATAAATTGATTTGAGCGCAGGTACGCCCGCACCGTTGGCGTGGTCGAATTAATTTCTTAATTAATCTAAATCTAATTCCAAATTGACGGTACGGTATTGGATCGATCGAGGACGATCAAGTGGGCAAGATGGCGGCGCCACCGGTTCTCTTCGCTGCTCGGTCTCGCATGACACGGAAAGAGGAGAGGGCCGGTAACCACGGTGGTCGTCCGGGAGGAGAAAGGAGAAGCCGCGAACCGGTATCGCCGGTATCGCCGGTTCGCGGCAGCGGTGCCGCAAAAAAGCCGGCAAAAATCGGTAAACAAGCGAGCCGGGCTTTCAGGTCACCGCTCCGCTTATCGGCGTCGGACTCGCGCAGCCAACTAAGCCCGCCGCGCACGCGCGGCCAGGCTTCGTGCGCGCGCATCATAACCTCGCAGATTGTAAACAATGACTGATCGCGCGCGAAATTCAATTAACCCTTTCCCTTATGATTTAACTTTAAAGAGACATGCGCGTGCACATTGTTTAATTTTAATGAATATATTTATAAAAATATAGATTCTATTTCGTTTGTGATAAAACAGATTTATAAAATAATGATAATGAAAGGAAAAATATCCCCTTCAAGTGACAATGAGACTGAGACAAGGAAACGTATTACTGGATAAAATGGAAATTGTTAGGAATAAAATTAACCAATTGTGTTTTTTTAAACTGCTTATTTTTTTTTTCCTTATAATAATTGCCTGTAATTAATATTCTTGAAGTGTGTGATAGTGGTGTGATAGTCCGAACCTTAATACAATAATGTACTAAATTTACAACGTATGTTTTTATATGTGTACATGTATACGAGATCTGTAAACAAAAGATCATAAAACACTTTCCTTAGCGGTGTGGCGAAGTCTTACAATATAACCGTGTAATAATAAATTAGTAATAATAAAAAGTAAAAATAAGTAATAACAATATAATTGTGTATGTAAACTGTGTAAGCTGTGTAAAATTGTGTAAACAATATAAACTGTGGACATGCAGATTGCGTTTACAGTACATGCACGTACGTCATATATGTCATGTTTATACATATTTCGCATGAGGGAGGGTCATGCACGTGGATGCGTAAATTCCGACATGTCGCCCTGCCTTTTTTTACGCGCTTTGTATCCGTACATATCGGCACATATTCTAGTACATCCGAACATGTCCGCGCCGCGGCATGTACAGGGCCCATGTAGTACATGGCCGCGCTTAGCCGCTACACACCGCGAGGGTTTCCGCGTAACCATTAATTAGATTAGCATATGCCGGAAAAAGAGTACCGTCTGCTACCTCTAGGTACTTTACCCGAGACCTCGCCGGGTAACCTTACTATTTACGAAACTCTCGCGAAACCCTCTAATGGGATCTTCCGCGATCCGAGTGGCGGTGCTCTATGGTCTCTATGGTTCGTATGGTCTGTATGATCTCTATGGTGTGTGAATATGCAAACCCTAAGGTAGGTCCTGAAACTCGCGAAATTTCATGTTTTATAAACTATTTTAAAAATACCTATAAAGAAATTTGAAAAGAATTGAAATTTCATGAGTTCCAGGACCTTCCTTATAGTCTCCCTATTCACGTTGTAACGTTTCAAACTATTCGGTAAACCGAGTTGGGAGAAAAGTTTTATAAACAAAATCCCTTCGACGTCACTTTCACATTACCTTAAGGGGATGTGAAAGTGGCATCCGAAAGCTCAATCGTTCATAAAACATTTCTACGAACTGGGTGTCTCAAATCGTTTCATACATTAAAACGTGAATATGGAGACCCTAAGGTAGGTCCTGAAACTCGGGAAATTTTCATTTTTTATAAACTATTTTTTAAATACCTATAAAGAAATTTGTCGAGTAATCGCGGTAAATAATTATCATTACCCGAGTACCCTCAATTTTCCGGTAGAATCGGTCGAAGGAGAGGTCACGAATGTTGAGGCAATCTTCGAGGGGTCGGAATGGAACAACGCCAGTTTTTCCGGGTCCTAAACTCAGCTCGGCTAAGTGCAGGGTAATGCACGAAAGGAATTGCCGGTAAATAGTTAAATGCACGGAAAGAGTTCTCATGCGAGTTCGCGGAATGCAACTACTACCACTTGAGACTTTAACCTCGATTTGCAATAAACGTCGGGGATGGAGAAACGACCTCGAGGACATCTTGCGATTCGCGGAAAACCATCAAGACTATCTTTATGGCCACCATCGCGATACCTTCGAAATGCTCCGCCATTTTCTCGCGACACCGCGTTTCGAGCTGGGATACGGTTTTTCTCACACGAAAGAAAAAAATCGTTTCAGTACAATTGCTCTAGCAACATGGCTAAAATGTTGCAAAGTGATCCATACTAATGATGAGACTGATATGAAATGATGATACGGTTTTTCTCACACGAAAGAAAAAAAAATCGTTTTATTACAATTGCTCTAGGAACATGGCTAAAAGGTTGCAATGTTAACCAGACAAATTCTGAGACGGTTTTTTTCACACGAAAGAAGAAAAAATCGTTTCACTACAATTGCTCTAGCAACATGGCTAAAATGTTGCAAAGTGATCCATACTAATGATGAGACTGATATGAAATGATGATACGGTTTTTCTCACACGAATGAAAAAAATCGTTTTATTACAATTGTTCTAGTAACATGGCTAAAATGTTGCAATGTCAACCAGACAAATGATGAGACGGTTTTTCTCACACGAAAGAAAAAAAAATCGTTTCACTACAATTGCTCTAGCAACATGGCTAAAATGTTGCAAAGTGATCATACTAATGATGAGACTGATATGATATGATGATACGGTGTTTCTCACACGAAAGAAAAAAAAATCGTTTTATTACAATTGCTCTAGCAACATGGCTAAAATGTTGCAATGTTAACCAGACAAATGATGAGACATATACAATTGAAACAAATGTAATTTTAATATATCGCGATTTTATTTATATAGGTTACGATCCTCTTACCCTGGTCTGGCAAATTTTCCAATTAGGATTTTTTATATACATATTTGGCGAATTTCTTGATAATCGTTGGTTTCTACAATTTCGCCTCCTCAATTTAAATACTAGCTTTTTATTACGCATCTCTTCTGCATAATTAAAAGCGGCAGAATTTCGCGATTATCTCGGTAGCCTCAGGGGTATACGTACCATTTCCAGTGGACGTCGAGGAATATGGGTTACGATGCCATTAACGCTAATCTCCCCGATTTTCGGAATAAGATATCTCCGTTTAAAGACTTCATATCCCCCGGGTGGAATCTCGCAAGCACTTCCCTTTATCATTAGTCGCGGCTAATTTAGATGCTAATATTTATACCTTAACCTTAGGCACTCCGAATTCTTCTCAAGCTAGTCAGAGGCGAATTGGAATCCGAGGGGTTAATTACTGGGGGTAATTAAGGATCGGACAATTTTATAGGATGGCGATTACTGAGCCTCGTTTTCCTTTTACTTTACAGCCGAGAGCCGGTCGCAGACCACGAGGACGTCCCGGAAACGCCGCCCAGCCTCAGCCATCCCCCAGGACCCAGAGTCCCGTTTCCCAGCAGCTCGACAAAGGTGAGAATAGGCTCTTTAAGAGGATACGAAAGGCGCTGAGAAATTAAATCGACGTCGATAAAGTGAAATTCGGCTCTTTAAGAGGATACGAATGGCGCTGAGAAATTAAATCGACCTCGATAAAATAAAATTCGGCTCTTGAAGAGGATACGAAAGGCGCTGAGAAATTAAATCGACGTCGATAAAGTGAAATTCGGCTCTTTAAGAGGATACCAAAGGCGTTGAGAAATTAAATCTACGTCGATAAAGTGAAATTCGGCTCTTTAAGAGGATACGAATGGCGCTGAGAAATTAAATCGACATCGATAAAGTGAAATTCGGCTCTTTAAGAGGATACCAAAGGCGTTGAGAAATTAAATCGACGTCGATAAAGTGAAATTCGGCTTTTTAAGAGGACACCAAGGGCGCTAAAAAATTAAATCGACCTCGATAAAGTAAAATTCGGTTCTTTAAGAGGATACGAAAAGCGCTGAGAAATTAAATCGACCTCGATAAAATAAAATTCGGCTCTTTAAGAGGATACGAAAGGCGCTCAGAAATTAAATCGACCTCGATAAAGTGAAATTCGGTTCTTTAAGAGGATACCACAGGCGCTGAGAAATTAAATCGACGTCGATAAAGTGAAATTCGGCTCCTTAACAGGATACGAAAGGCGCTGAGAAATTAAATCTACGTCGATAAAGTAAAATTCGGCTCTTTAAGAGGATACCAAAGGCGCTGAGAAATTAAATAAATTAATTAAAAATGAAATGAAATTAATTCCAGGTCGATGAAGTGAAATTCATCTATACCCTTTCTGGTAGTAATGCCGTTTTGAATACTCAACTGATACTAACCAACGATATATATATCGTTGGTTCGATGGATTTTCCTTCTCGCCCTTTATTTTAATCTTTTTTTTTCTTCTATTTAAGCGGTAAATTACGGAGCCTCGTAATGGGTCTCCGTCTACTCGGAGGCCACTTGCCGATGATTACAGATAGGTGTAATCATCGTCACAGGAAGTAACCGGCTGTGCCGGTTTCCTCTGCTCGGTCGTAATTTCCTGCACGTCGGTGCGAACCTGTGGACGCGTTTTACCTCCGGGCTCTCGTTTTGTCGCCGACAGATGCAATGATCATTTACCGGTTCCAGTTGCGTTTCGGAGTACTCTCATTCGCCTCGATAAATCTTCCGGAACCGGTGGGATTTTAAGCGACCACTGGAAATACTGGATCGCAGATCTTCCTAGAGCAGGTTGTACGGGATAGGATTAAAATTTCATGGGATAACCGGATTAATGATACATCTATATGTTCGGCTGAGTTCACAGCTAATTGCGTGTAGATGTCGGTGGCTCAATCTAGGAGAACTGTATCCTGATGGTTTTTTTAATATGCTTATCTCTTTATCGAGATCAAGTCAACCGTGGTGAAGAGTGGAATGGTAGATACCTACGGGGAACGACGAAGTAATCGTTGTGGATCGGTTATTTCTTTTTTTTTTATGTGATTAAAGAAGAATGGTGAATTTAGGGGATAAGATTTATTTTTTAAGATTTATTTCTAAAGGAGTTTAAAATAAAAGAAAGTTGTTTCGCGAGCCATATCGAAAGGGATTGGCGGTCTGGGTTCGGGGATAAGTACGTCAACGGATATTCATCTTTGGGGCCCATCTCGAAGGAAAACTATCCTGAAAATTAATTCCCCTTTTATATTTTACCATCTTGACTGAGATATTCTAATCGAATTTTTAATTAAACATGACTTGAATCCCACTCCATTCCCAAAAGATTAGCGTTCCAAGTTGAGCACTACGTATGACGTCCATTCATGAGCCATCAGGGCCCATCTCGAAAGGAAACTTCTCTAAAACATTATACCCTTTTATATTTCACTATTCTAATTGAGATATCCTAATCGAATTTTTAATTAAACATGACTTGAATCCCACTCCATTCCCAAAAGATTAGCGATCCAAGTCCAGTACTAAGTATGACGTCCATTCATGAGCCATCAGGGCCCATCTCGAAAGGAAACTTCTCTAAAACATAATTCCCTTTTATATTTCACTATTCTAATTGAGATATCCTAATCGAATTTTCAATTAAACATGACTTGAATCCCACTCCATTCCAAAAGATTAGCGTTCCAAGTCCAGCACTAACTACGACGTCCATTCGTGAATCATCAGGACCCATCTCGAAAGGAAACATCCCTAGAACTTAATTCCCTTCTTCATTCCCTAGAACTTAATTCCCTATCTTTCACTATCCTTATTAAGATATCCGAATCGAATTTGGAATTAAAAATACCTTTCATCCCACTCCATTCCCAAAAGATTAGCGTTCCAAGTCCAGGACTAACTACGACGTCCATTCATGAGCCATCAGGGCCCATCTCGAAAGGAAACATCCCTAGAACTTAATTCCCTATCTTTCACTATCCTTATTGAGATATCCAAATCGAATTGTGAATTAAAAATACCTTCCATCCCACTCCACTCCCAAAAGATTAGCGTTCCAAGTCCAGGACTAAGTATGATGTCCATTCATGAGTCATCAGGGCCCATCTCGAAAGGAAACATCCCTAGAACTTAATTCCCTATCTTTCACTATCCTTATTGAGATATCCGAATCGAATTCGGAATTAAAAATACCTTTCATCCCACTCCAGTCCCAAAAGATTAGCGTTCCAAGTCCAGGACTAAGTATGACGTCCATTCATGAGCCATCAGGGCCCATCTCGAAAGGAAACATCCCTAGAACTTAATTCCCTATCTTTCACTATCCTTATTGAGATATCCAAATCGAATTGTGAATTAAAAATACCTTCCATCCCACTCCACTCCCAAAAGATTAGCGTTCCAAGTCCAGGACTAATTACGACGTCCATTCATGAGTCAACGGAGCCTCCTCCTCGGGTCTCGGAGGAAAAGCACCGGGGTCTGATCCCGGTCCAGCCCAGCATCTCTCGGGTGAGAGTAACCGGTCCTAGAGAAGGACGCGACGTTCGGGGACGTCTGGAGAGCGAGAAAGAGCGAATGCGAGGACTGGAGATACGGTATCGGTAGGCGGCCCGGTTCCCAAAGGCAAAAGGAGAGAACGGGTAAAAAGAGACGAGAGAAACGGCCGGGGGGAAGAAATGGTTCGAGGAACTGCGGAGACCAGTTCCCAAACAAAAGACTCGTCCAGAGACCGACGCCGGCAGTTCGGGATGGAATCCAGGTTCCGATCTGGTAAAAGAGGGTGTTTGGATTGGGCTGGATGCTGACTCAGGGGAGAAGAGGTGACAGAGACGGAAAGGGTTGGTGGCCTCTTTGGGGGGATGTCACCTCCGGAGTCTTTGTCCGACTTGGAGCCCGCTTAATCTACTACGACTGTCTGACCATACTTTCTGCAAGGCGAGCCCTTTCCCTCCTTTCCGCCTAACTACGCACTTCCGGAAAATCGAATTTCACGAGCGTAGAGTTCTTCGTTAGGGCCTCCATAATCATGGGTTGAGGTTTCAGATAATTCGATGCACCCGGTTTGGAGGAAAGTTTTATCAATATTTTGACGTTTCATATACATAGAATGACCCTTCCATATCACCTTGACCCTTTGCAACTGTTGAGATTTCGATAACGTACGTCGAGTCTCTCTCGACCAATCCTAAGTATATTTTAGCCCTTTGAACGCGGAGCCGTTTTGACATATGGGCGAAATTCGCCTGACCGTGCAGGCAATATTGGACCAAACGTCGGGCGCCTTTAGGCGCTCTTAGTAGCCAACGGGTTAAAACGAAGAAAAGATAAAATACGATTCGGAAATAAAGCCGCGTTAAAATGACAATGATAATAAAGTTTCAACTCCCATCCGCATACCTGCAACTTCTTTTCATCTCCATAACGAGAGAACTTTTTAAAGTTTTATTAATATTTTGACGTTTCATGTACATAGAATGACCCTTCCATATCACCTTGACCCTTTGCAACTATTGTGATGTCGATAAAGTATGTCGAGTCTCTCTCGACCAATCCACGATTTGAGTCTTCGTTAAAATTATTATCGTATATTTTAGCCCTTTGAACGCGGAGCCGTTTCGACATATGGGCGAAATTCGTCTGACCGTGCAGGTAATATTGGACCAAACGTCGGGCGCAAACCCTCTGCAGTCAACTAGGGACGCAGAAAGCACGAATCCAGAGGATTTCTGGACTTTTACTTCGATTTCTTTATAATTATTGTAGGAAAACGACAGGTGGAGTATGCCATTTGGTACAATACGCAATATAATTCGGCCCAGCTGTCGATATAGAAACCAACGTCGGCAACGTAGGCATTTAGAAAAATCTTCTTTATTAATGTCGATCAAGTTCCTCGACGTGTTCCACTTCACCTTAACGAAGCGCTTGAGCTTTCGTTCGATGAAACTGATCTTTTAAAAAATGTAGAAAAATGTAGAAAAATGTAGAAAATCCCTTTCGGGGATCTTTCCACATCCTTGATTTTTCCTCGGAGGTGGAGGAGGAGGAAAATAGCTTGCTCGATGGGGCATGAAGCTTTCGAGATTGACGGGCTTTTTTCCAACGGGGATCGAGCTTTTTAAAGCCCACGTGTCGTTGAATCGCGGAACCCACGACGAAGCACCGGAAGTAACGACGAGCTTGAAGGAAAGCTGCGAGGAAAGCTCGTCCTTCGGTGGAGCTTTTTCCCCTCCTCTCTTCCATCAGTCTTTTTCTATCCTCAAGGGGCGAGCTTTAAGGTCGAAAAGCTTGCGAGGGAATCACCCTAACTGGCCGGATGCCACGATCTCTCTCTACCTCTCGCTTTTCCTTTCTCTCTCTTTCCCCTGAATTTTAATATATGCATTTTTTACATTCGATTTGGGCATTGCATAATTGAATTAGCAATTTCGTCGAAAAGTCATTAAATGAAGGGAAATTTATTTCGGATGAGAAATGGGTGGCCAGGATCTTGAAATATACATGTATATATTTCTATGCATTTTATTTGAACATTACATGACCTAGTGAGCAAT